GATGCTGGCAGAAGACCTGAGAGTCCTGTGTCAGAGACAAAGGACTTTGTTATTCATATTTGTACAGTTCCCCCATCCCCAAATTCCATGGAGGCTGCACGTATACAGCCAGGTGAATGTTGCACACACAACAGATTACATTATAAAACTCTTGAGTTTAGGGAACTCTAATCTTTTAGACAGAGGGAGACACACTATCTTCCGAGGATGTAGAGAGATCTGGCCTTTGCTCTGGGGGGAGACACTATCTATTTTCTAAGATTGGTTGCCATGCAAATATTCTTGAAAATATATTCCAAAACAAAGGGCAAAAATGCAAGGAACCCATGGAGAATATCTTCCAACATAATCTAATCTTCATTTCTGAGAGGGCTGAACATTAATGGACATGCATATGGTTGCTACACATACTCTGCCACTAATTTAGGAGCAATAAGGGATTTCTTCAGGGGTGATCGGGATCACCTTGGAGCCATCCACACTCCTGCCTGCCTCCATTGTGTATCAGCAACCCTATTTCTCCTGATGATTAGATTCAGTCACTGTAGTCAACAAGTTATTAACAGTTCAGCCAGTTGACATCTAGAAACCCAAATGACTAGGTGGCAGCCTCAGATTTTAAGTTAACGGAACAATTGTGTCCACAGTGGAAACATTCTTCCTTGAATACTAAGAGCTCTAGCTAGCAGAACTGAGCAGAAAACACACATCTTGAAGGAACTTATTAGATTTAATAGTGAGGTGAAATTCCCATTTTCAATCCTCGGTTACTGGACCCATGTATTTTGTTTATGAGAAAAAGAGTATGAGATACTGATGACTAGTTTAGAACATCTACTACAGTCTACAGTGTAGCATTTCAGTTGTATCTTTCCCAGTTCAAGGAACCACTGAATCTTCAGTATTAAGTCCAGCTACATCTGGGTTATGATAAAACTAGTAAAACCCATGGGCATCAGCTTTCTTTCAGTATAAGGTGGGTAAATTTTCATTCTGTTAAACAATGAATAAACCTGTTAACAGGAAACAGTTGACAGTAAAGTGTTTAAACAGAAAACTATAAGTATTCATAGTTTGATGAATAGGCTCCTCTCCATAGGCTGAAACTGAGAGACACAAGTATCAGAGAGGTGGAAGCTAGAAAAAAAGAGTCAGCTTTATTGCTTAAAGAATCTAAATTGGCAGATGTGTGACCAAATAGGGTTGCAATATTCTTTAAATAAACTTACTCTATTAGTGCAAGCTAGACAAATCCTGTTGCTCCTTACAGCATGCACAAGAAAGGATATCAGAATTGCATCCTCCTTGTAGGAAGACGAGCTTCAAAAGTTAAAAAGTAGAAGGGGCTGAGCTCATTTTCTTGTCCCCAAATCACTAAACAGATTAAGACATTTTTGGGGAGGAGTGAATAAGGGGTTTCAAGAGAAACTGGGTTATTATTATGGTGGAAATCCCTCTAAATGGAAACATAAAGTCAGGGGAAAGGAGCTTATCAAGGAGAATTAGTTGAGCAACTTTGTCTATCCTGTACCATTTCATTTGGTGGGTGACTT